GCCGAAGTAGAGAAGGAGAAACGAGTGAGTCGAAAGAGTTCGAGCTCACTCGACGCACAGCTAGCGGCGTCCGCCGCGGCGGGCCCCGACCCTCATCGGACCCATGACATAGGAAACGAAACGCTCGAGATTTGCCCTGTACTCACCTTCAGTGGTGACGTGGCCGACGTGCTCGCCACCAGGAAAGACATGCTGGAACTCGTCGACTGTGCCTCGTGTCGTGGCAGAACGCTCCGATATTGGGCTGGACCGGAAGGCTGCAGATTGATAAGTACCTGAGAAATTGGCATGATCATGAAGTGACTGCGCCAAGAGGCCGACATTGGAATCGATCCGCTCGATGTAGTCCTGGGAGACGGTGTTGAAGGCTGTGCTATTCTTGCAGCCACCACCTGGAAAGGCTGCGACCCACTGCGCGATCCGCCAGCCGTCGGAGGCGCCAGCGAAGGTGTCCCGACGATCAGCTGCCCGCCCCTCTTTGAGCTGACCCCTCTGGCCGGCTCTTCGCATGGGCTGGCGCTCGGCTCTTCTCGAGCGCGCTGAGGTGCGCCAGCGGAAGGCGCGTGGGGGGCGGGCATGCAGACTCTGACATGAACTTGTGTGAGGCTCGGGAGTGCGAGGTGCATCCACGCGGCAGACTGCCGCGGTACGGCTGCGCTCGCGCCAGCGTCTGACCCTTGGCGGTCGCGCGCCAGTGATTGTGGATCACGCAGTACGGTTCGCTCCAGGGGCGGGTGGTGGTTGAGCGGAGCTCCAGGAACATGTAGTACGCCGGCGTCGAAGGAGGATAATCTTCGTGAACTATTGATGCATCAGCGATGTTGAAATACGTCCTCTCCACGTAGAGGCCCGTACCCCTGCAGGTCTTCCTTTTCTGCTTCCATGGAACGCCCCCTTGACAGTCCAACGCCCTATTGGTCTGCCACCCAGGCGAGAGCTCCATTTGGAAATAGAACTGCCTTGCGTCCCTCCAGCGATGCAGATTCACAACGCATGCGCCAAAGGCATGACCACACAGTGCAAAAGGAGGCGTCCACCTACAAGCACCCCTTGTGAAAAGGGCCGCCCCCGCATGCGCAATGCAGGCGGAGCGACCCGCGATCCCAAAGCTCCCGACCGTTTGCACAGGAGCTTGCCTCTGGATGGCCGCAAAGACGCGCTGCCCCGAGCAGTCTTTTCGGCAAAGATCTCCTACACGGGCGCGCGCGATGTCCTCCGGACCCGAAATCGGTCGCTCATGGCCCGTGGCCTCCCGCAGGGTGGTCTCCCGCGGGCAGTCCCGTGCGGTCCTGCTCCCCCCCCCGGACCCGACATCGGCAGCCCGTGGCCTCCTCGTGTGCTGTGCGGCATGCCCTCCCGTGCAATGTCCCGTGTGGGCTTCCGTGGGCCTTACCGCGAGGTCTCCCCGCTCTTGCCCGCATGGCCTTCTGTGCGGCCTCCCGTGTTGCCTCCCATGCAGCCTCCCCTTTGTGGTCTCGCCGAGTCGTCTCCCGTGGGTTATCCCCCTGTGGTCTCCCGTATGAGGAGGAGGAGACGGAGGAGGAGGAGGAGGAGGAGGAGGAGGAGGAGGAGGAGGAGGAGGAGGAGGAGGAGGAGGAGGAGGAGGAGGAGGAGGGGAGGAGGGAGGAGGGGGAGGGCGGGCGGGGAGGAGGCAGAGGAGGAGGAGGAGGAGGAGGAGGGAGGGAGGAGGGGGAGGAGGGGGTTCCACTTTCCACTCTGATATCCCGTATGGTTTCTTGCGCGGTCTCCCGCCGGGTCTCCAGGGTGGCCCCCTGGGCGTACCGCTGCCCTCTTGACGTTTTCACCATGGCATTTGAGCTTCTGTCACAAGGTGTGCCACTTCGACCCCGCTCTGCGGGCTGGTTGCGCAAGCTGGGCCCAAGGACCGCCGACGGGGAGCAGGAGGCGGAGGAGGACCACATGAGAGGGGGGCGAACAACACCCACCTGAAATCGGCAATACACCGCCGATATATCGGCGATAGACCCCGCTAACGAACCCGCACGTTCCTGCGCTGGGTGGGCTGTCGGGCTCAGGTTGGCGATCAGTTGGCGAAATGGGGTCGATGCGTCCCCCCTGCAGCCGGAGGAGGGGGAGGAGGAGGAAGGAGGACGAGGAGGAGGAGGAGGAGGAGGAGCGAGCGAGCGCCCTTGGCAGCAGTTCGGCTTCGGCGCATCGGGTACGGGCCTGGGAAGATTGAGCGCCTGTCAGCGTCCTGAACTGCTGCTGCCTAGGAGGAGGAGGAGAAGGAGGAGGAACGAGGAGAAGAAGGAGGAGGAGGAGGAGCATCAGCAGGAAGTGGAGAAAGCCAGCCCCAAACTCAGCACCCAGCAACATCAGCAGCAGCAGCAGCAGCAGCAGCAGCAGCAGCAGCAGCAGCAGCCAGCAGCAGCAGCAGCAGCAGCCAGCAGCAGCAGCAGCAGCAGCAGCAGCCAGCAGCAGCAGCAGCAGCCAGCAGCAGCAGCCAGCAGCAGCAGCAGCAGCAGCAGCAGCAGCAGCA